GAAATATAAATGGTAATTGCTATTAGCTAATTCATATTGTGGTTTCTGACAGCCGAGAGTTATCTAAATATGACCGCTTGTGTTACGTCAATCTTTCCTCAGTTAGCGCTAGGACAAATGTAGCCTACATTTTCCGTTTTGGATGATTGTGTTATGCTGTCGCTACTTCTGTGTATGTCTGAACATTGCATCCAAAAATAAACTGGTCACATTCAGGACATAACTTTGTAAGGACTGTGTTTGTGCAAAATGTTTCTGTGAAGAAACAGTGTGGCCAGCTTAAATGTTGACTGTTGCGTCAATCGAAACTGGACGTTCTAAATAAGCGTTCTAATCACACCGGTTTGAGCTTACGCTGTAGGGACCACTGTAGAATGATCACACCTGTTTGTTGGTACGTGTGAAAAGGTTAAATATACTTTTTAAGTCTGTATGTCATAGTCGTACAATAAAATGAACAAAATAAAGCTTGCCCTTCCTCTCTTTCTCTCTCTCTGTCCTCCCAGGTTGATATTTTCCCGTTCTTCTGTTTTTGGAGTGCTTGGCAATGGTGAGAGAAGCCTGCTGATGTTGTGCCCCACGTTTCATCCTGAACCATTTGGCTTCAAACTCTTCTTCAAGGATGCCATGCGCGTGACAAAGAGCAGGAGAAGGAGAAAAATAGATTGCTCAGAGACTACCCTTGAGGGTCTTGGTGTGAAGTGCTTGTGTTTCCCTTCACTCTCTCTGCGGAAGACTCTTCTTTTCTTTCACTCCCAGAGGAGGCGTGGCCTGGCCTTGTGAGACCCACCTTTGTGAACTCTGCCCCAGTTTTAGTGTATAGACAACCTTTTATTTTACAGAACCTAACTGCAGTTTTTAAAGATGCAAATTGTGATGTGTAAAAAGAATGACGTTGATAAAGAATACATATATATTTAAACTATGATGATGATGATGAGTATGATACCCATGTAAAACTGCATGCTGTACGGAGCTTTGAGAAAGGGAAACTACTCGGTTAAGGACAGACAAATGGACTGAAACCTTGACATCCACAGCTGATGGTGAGTTGGGAGGGGTTTTGTTTTCCATTAGTTGTTGTTTTGATTATTTTTTTCCAATAAATATTTTGTAATTATTATTTATATAAAACACATCCCAACCAAACCCTATTTGTTGTCTGGCTCACATTTTATTTTCTGGTGGTGCACATGGTCATTATAGTGCAGGGTTTTAGTGTTCACACTAACATCAGTGTTGGTGTGAAATAAAACCAGAAGATTTATTCATATGTATAACTAAGTTGCCACAGAGGGGGAAGGCGGATTGAGGGCGATTCTTAACTTTAAAACTGAGGAGGGGCTCAGAAAACGTCAAATGGGATTCTTCAGACCTCGGAAAAACAGGAGTAATGTGTTGTCAGGCATCTGTGTTAAAAGATGCTTTTTTCCACTGATCGTCTTATTGTTGTGCTGATCACATCCCTGGAAACTCCTCCCCCTATGACTCAATTCTCTCCCCCTCTCTCTTCCACCTTCTCTTTCCCCCTCCATATTTACATTTCTCTCTCCCTCGCGCTCTGGTCTGACTCACCTGCTCGCTCTGCTGTTCCGCCCTATCTTTCTTTCTCCCTCTTTTCCTCACTCTCTCCCCTTTTACATTTATCCAGAGCGACTTTCTCTCTCTCCCCTTTCCCTCTTTCTCTTCCAACTCACCTGCTATCTCGTTTGCTCTCCATCCCTCTCTCTCTTTCCCCTTCTCTCTATCCCTCTCCTTCGCACTCCCTCCCTCTCTATGCTCCAACTCATCACATATCTCCTCTGCTCTCCCTCTTTTGCGCCCCTTCTCCTCCCTCCCTGTGCTATGACTCACCAGCTCTGTGATCTATTCTCAGTGCTGGGCTGATGGGGCAGCGGATTGCGTAAGATGGAGAGACAAACATTGCCCACGTCAGCCCATCACTGAGAGAATCTCTGCAGAGCCCAGACCAGGCAAAACTCAGTGGGAAACCTCAGCAATGTACCTTTTGATTAATGAAGACTTCCTGCTTTTCTGACCTCCATCCCTTAGTTTATTTCTTAGCCGTTGCAATTAACCCATCCCCATTTCCATGATTGTGCTGATGGTATCTCTGACAGTTGTGCCAAAAAGTCACTCATTAGTGCAAGTGGATGGGCAACTCCAGTCCTCGGGCCTGATTGGTGGCACACTTTTGCCCCAGCCCCAGCTAACACACCTGACTCCAGTAATCAACTTATCATGATTTTCAGTTTAGAACGCAATTAATTTATTCAGCTGTGTTTTCTAGGAATGGGGGAAAAAGTGTGATACCACTCCGGCACCCGACCAACTCAGTGGCCTTGTGGTTAGTGTCCACCCTGAGGTTGGGAGTTTGGAAAGGTGGCATCCTATGACAGTGCCACGTTGAAAGTCACTGAGCTCTTCAGTAAGGCCATTCTGCTGCCAATGTTTGTCCATGGCTGTGTGCTCGATTTTATACACCTGTCAGCAATGGGTGTGGCTGAAATAGCCAAATCCACTAATTTGAAGGTGTGTCCACATACTTTTGTATATATAGTGTAAATGCCCTTCACCCAAGAGACAGCTGGGACACTTCCTTGTTCTCTCAGGCCTCCAGGGGGAAACACTCAGAAATGAGGGAAGCTTCTGGATTCCCCCTCTTTAATCAATTTACAGACACAACATGAGATGATGGAAGGTCGAGGGCAGAATTCTATGGGTCTGGGGCATTGAAGGAGGACAAAAGAGGACGAGCACACATGGTGGAATGGGTTGGAATTAGATTTGTTTGAACTGATCAGAAAATAGGAACATTTTCTACAATGAAATCCATGTGATGCTGTTGAAGATGCAATACACAACAGAGCATAAAATGAGCACTTGAATAAGTAGTTATATAACAATGATATAAATCTGATTCAAGTCTGTCATCCAGTGTTACTCGGCTAATCTAGAACCCAGTCACTTCTATGGAACTATGATAAATATGCCATATCTTCCTTCCCATCAAAGTGCATTTGTTCTTATGTAAAACTGTACAGTAAATTGGTTTTGTAGATATGTTTGAACTGAGCATATAATTAGGTACATTTTGGGGGTTTAATATTTTTTTTTAAACATTGAAATCCATGTGATGCCGTTGAAGATGCAACACAACACATGCTGTAAATTACACTTTTAAGACAGGAAAAGGCATATTCAAATGTTAGGATATCTACTCTCCAAGCAAGAATATAGCTATGAATATATAACGTCACATATGGGTCGTTTCACGGAAAGAGTGCCTTTAAATTTAAATCAACCTGTAACGCTGACCTTCCGTGATACGGATTGAATAGAGCCCTTAAGCCAACAATGTCTCCAAGTTCACCATCATTGTAAAGCCCTAGTAATTTTGACAGTCATTTCTAAAGATGATTATTTATTTCATGTTATTAGTCATTAATTTACGTCTGTCCCTCATTTTAAGTTAAACCCTGTTACATGAACTGAAGTCTAGTTTTAATATGGTGAAATATTTTTTTTCAAAACAACCATTGAACATCTAATAGTCAAATCATAGAGTAAAAGCAGGTGAGCTGGTTCTACTCCTTTCTTTCTCTTTGTAAAACAACAACTGGTACGCTGCTTCCAGTGTGAAGGAAATCTCGAGATTTTGCTCACCTGACATAGAATACCTAACGGTAAGCCGCAGACCTTTTTATCTACCGAGAGAGTTCCCATCCCTAATTATCACTGCTGCTACATCCCTCCCCAAGCCAACACCACTTTGGCACTCTACGAACTGTATGGAGCCGTAAACACACTAGAAAACACACATCCAGAGGCGATGTTTCTTATGGGCGGAGACTTTAATGTGGGGAGACTGAAATCCATTCTACTTAACTTCTACCAACACGTCTCCTGCGCTACAAGGGGCGCTAAAACTCTGGACCACTTATATTCTACCCACAGAAACGCATACAATGCCTCTTCCCCCTCAGGAGGCTGAAATGATTTGGCATGGGCCCACAGATCCTCAAAAAGTTCTACAGCTGCACCATTGAGAGCATCTTGACTGGCTGCATCACCGCTTGGTATGGCAACTGCACCGCCCTCGACCGCAAAGTTCTACAGAGGGTAGTGTGGATGGCCCAGTACATTACTGGGGCCGACCTCCCTGCCATCCAGGACCTCTACATCAGGTGGTGTCAGAGGAATTGCCAAAGACCAGCCACTCAAGCCAAAGACTGTTCACTCTGCTACCGTCTGGCAAATGGTACCGGAGCATCGACTCTTGGACCAACAGGTTTTACCCCTAAGCCATAAGACTGCAAAATATTTAATCAAATGCTTACCCAGACTATCTGCATTGACCCTATCTTGCACTGACTCTTTGCACACTCACAAGACTATGCCCACTCAGTCACACACACTTTAATAATAATAATAATATGCCATTTAGCAGACGCTTTTATCCAAAACGACTTACAGTCATGTGTGCATACATTTTTACGTATGGGTGGTCCCGGGGATCGAACCCACTACCCTGGCGTTACAAGCGCCATGCTCTACCAATTGAGCTACAGAGGACCACTACACTAACACTCTCACACAAACCCACATACACTACATACCGATGCCACACACACTTTCATTCAGCGCATGTGACAAATACAATTTGATTGAATTTGAGTCCGGGAGCCTGTAACCTTACAAGAAGTGTGGTCAGTCATGAGGAAGTGCTCAAAGCCATAGAAAAGGGTGGGTCACACATCTGGGAAGGTATTTTGTTTCTTTAATGCTATACAGTAGAAATATAACAAAATCATCTATTGATTGACCTAAACTGAGATAACATCCCACTGGGCACAGACGTTAATTCAACATCTATTCCACGTTGGTTCAACGTAATTTCATTGAAACAACATTGATTCAACCAGTATGTGCCCAGTGGGATGAAGCTAACTGAAGGAGTGAAAGGTCAGCCAGGCTATACAGGGCTGGAGGTGTCCCACCACATACTCTTGTCCTCCCTGGTCCTGCCCTGTCCTCCACAGCCCAGTGAAAAGCCTGTCCTCCAGGGTCACAGACAGCTTATCAGGCAGGCTGGGGGATGGTGCCTGGGGCTGGGGCTGGGGGTTTCAGACTGGGGATTCAGGATCTTCAATGTGAAGAGGACCTATGGAGTCTTTCAGGGGCTCAGGGAGAGCCACAGGGGTGGAGGCAGAGGAGTAACTCTGATAGACTCATGGCTTGGCTACTGTTGTTGTTGTAATTGTCCACCCTCGGGTCCATCCCTCTGGACTCAGCCCTCAGTGTGTCAGATGACCGAATAGCTGCGTCCTCATTGGCTACAGTCTCATTCTCTGTGCCCTTATTGGTTGACTCCTTAACGTCTGTGCTCTCATGAGCTGCACCCTCATTGGTTGCTCCCTGGCTAGCCGCCCCCTAATTGGCCTCCTCGTCGGCTGTGCTGGCGATACGTGACAGCGTGCTGTGGTACCTCGTGTCCAGAGGGTATCCTGCACTATCGCCCCTCTGTAGGGGTCTGAAACTCTGCCTCTCCAGGGAGAGCGAGTAGCGCCTCCCAGACCCCGGGTCGCTGTACTGCTTGTGGCGATGCCACTGTTTGCGCGATCGGTGCCGGGAGCGCAGCGGTGACTCCTGCTGGTCGAAACGGGGATCATGACGCAGGAACTCATTGAACAGGGCATCCGTTTTCTCGTCGATGCTGTAGTCACGTCGACATAGGCGTACAGGCCGAGGCGAGGGCACGGGTTGGGGCAAATGTAGCGGCGGTTGTTGCAGTTGTAGCAATTTTAGTGCTGATAGTGATTGTGGTGGTTCTTTGAGGGTAAGCGTCTTTACTCCATTAGGGGACATTGGGGACCTCTTTACAGGTTTCTCTTCCACCTCAGTACCCTCTCGCATCTCATCCTCCTGCTCCTCTTGGAGCACCTTGACCTCGAAGCTCTCACACACAGAGCCCTTCCTCCCAGAGCTAGTGAAGAAGAGCCTTTTCTCTGACACCGTCTTCCCCCGGGGGCCTCCAGGGGCCCCAAACAGCCTGAGCTCCTCAGGGGCCCGTATTGGAGCCTCAATGGACGTGTACCCGCTGTCCATCTGCAGAAGCTTCCGGCTCCCTGCCTCAGTCTCTCCTCCTACTCCCCCTTCTCCTCCCATACCTCCTCCCCCCTCGCTATCTCTCCTCTGAACCCCCCTGTGACCCATCTTTCTTCCAGTGTCCCTGTATTCCGCTTCCCCCTCCATCTCCTTCTGTCCTCTGTCTCCCCCCTCCCTTTCTGTGTCCCCATACTCCCATTCTCCCTCCAGTTCATCGCCAAGATCCTGGGAGAGGCAGGCAGCGAAGCCGGACCGGCCTGCTGCCCCTCCTACCGAACACACGCTGTCGACGTCGCTGCGTATTGACTCTCTGTCCGTGCTGCTCTGGTCTGAGGAGGCATACTGCTCCAGAGAGGCTCGTAGGCTCCAAATGTCTCTGTACAGGGAGGGCTGGGTCTCAGAGCTCTCCTGTCGACTGATACACACCGCAGACCCAGACGTTGATCGAGGCCCTGGATCTGCACCTATTCCTGCTCCAGCACCTAGCACCCCTTCTAACCCTGATTCTAAATCTGTCTCTATCCTCATCCCTGATGCCCCTAGCCCTACCTCAACTTCTAATTCAGCCCCTGGTGTGGCCCCCACCTCTATCACTGACTCAAACATGGCTCCTGTCTCTGGCTCTTTTTCTGTTCCCAGAACAGCCCCTACACCTGTCTTGGCTCTTACACCAGTCTTGGCTCTTCCACCCATTCCTGCTTCTGCCTTTGAAGTGGCCCCCAATCCACCCGCAGTCCTTGCCTTTATCCTTGCTTCAGCTTCTTGCTCTGCCTGGAACCTTTCTTCTCCCTCTTGGGCTTCGTCTGTACCCAGACCTTCCCATACCATTATCTCTGCTCCGATACCCACCCTTTGTTCTGTCCCTAGAATATCTTCCCCTTCATCTTCATCTGACTCTTCTCCTGACCCAACCCATACTTTGACCTCTCCTGCTTCTGTTCTTGTCATTGCCCCAACTTCTGCCCGTGACCTTGTCTCTGTCCCTGTCCCTGTCCCAGCTTCTCTCCATAACCCTGTCCCTGTCGCCTCCCCAGGCTCCTGCTCTCTCCCCTCAGCGTCAGGGGGCTCTGGTGGTGGGTGAGTCACGTCTCTCCCTCTCCTGCCTCTGCTGGCAGCCTCCACCACCACCACCCCCTCTAACCTGTAGAGAGACAGAGACAGAGAGAGACGTCGGGTAGATTCACCATCGAACAACACCATTCAGATTTAATGGTCCAGCCCACTGTTTGTTAGAAGTAAGAGTCTGTGAATGGTACCTGCCGAGGGAGAGTGAGGGTGGGCAGGTGGAGGGAGATAGCGACCGCGCAGAGAGATGCTGGAGGCTGCTGGTCTGGTTGTGTGTGGGGGGGAGGGGCTGGGTGATGTCATGTCGAAGAGGGGGTGAAGGGTGAGGAGGGGGTGAGTCCTCTTCAGTTGGGTCGGTGTTATCACTGGCTGCTCTCTGTCTCTGGAACGGACGCCTCTTAGGAGAGCCTGAGGGAAACATATATACACACACACACACACACACACACAACCAGTGTTATTCTTCTCCATTTTTTTGTGTGATTGCGAAGCAACACACTTCGTCATACTTCAATTACTTATTAATATTCCCACCACTATTCCTCCTACAGCTTTTATGTGAAACATACCATTTCAACTTTATAATGTGCAGAGGTCAAACTTGAGTTGCTTACATTTTTGGGGGAGGCTACTCATCATACTTTAAAAAATTTAATCACTTAAAAATGGTCTATGGTGACCAAAATATGACATTTTGGGAACACTGGTGTCCATACACCTTTTAAGATACACACTCAAACATGTAAATCCATGTTTGAATGATGCCATTTACAACAACAAAAATATGCAAATATGGATTTATAGTGCAGTGGACCATAAAAACATGTTATTATTGCAGAGACTTCATCCAGAATGAGATTCTGACGCAATATGAGTTGGTTTGGAGTCTTTTGGAGCATTTTATAACACGCTTAGACACATTTTCATAATGCATTGTAGCCTATGGCAAGTGACTCTCTGTAGCGAAACACATTTTTAAAAAATAGTTTGGGAGATCAACTACAAGCACAGAAAGAGTAAACATAATGTCATGTAAAAATGGGTGAACTTCCCCTATAACATGGTGTTTCAGAACAAAACTGAATTGCCTAGCAACCCAGCAACCAGTTTTATATGAACAAGTAACTCATTGTATAGCTAACCTGAATAAGAAATGTTGTCAAAATAACACTTGTAAATTCAATACCTGATGTTTCCTAATATAAAAATATTTTTCACTGATAAAATAGCCATTTAGAAGATATTACTAGTGCTAAAGCAGAAGTAGCTAGCTGGGTCATTCCTACATTGCGGTGCCTTTTCAGTGGATGTATGTCTGCCATGTCCCCAGGTGTTATTCATCAACTTCCACGAGAAATATAAGCCATAAAAATAAAATAAACATCTTTCTTTATTATTTTATAGTCCTAAATTCTCTCTCATCAATAAAGTTTTTTTCATGTTTATTGTATTTATAATAATTTTATTTAAGATTTTCTGGGTGTTTCTGGGTGTTTTCACATATAGTCCTCTTTAAAAGAACCGATCCCAGTCCTCATTAAAGTGAACTCTGGGGAAAAAAAACTCAGCAAAAGAGCCAAGTTTTCTTTATATTCACACTGCCTTTGCCTTTGAATGAGGACTCAACTCTTTTGCCAGTTCACTTCACCTATTTTGTGGTCCGAGTCCTTTTTTCATTCACATTGCTATGTTTAGAAAGGAACCAAGATATTTTTCTAACATTCACTCAATGCACTCTGGGTTTTTACAAAGTGCAGGCAGGACAAGCCACTCCATCAGAATGTGTTATCAGACAGCTAGATACACCAGGGCTGCCAACTTTTGAAGAAAGCTTGGAGTGAGATTTGCTATGTGAATTGAATTGCTCCTTGGCAGAACCAGGGTAAAACATTTATTATTATAATTAAATGAACACTCTAAATTTGACAACATTGTTACTTTGAGATTTTTAAGGTGGTTTGACACTGTATTCAGACAGTAATGAACTGAGATGGGGAGACCGGCAAATGGGAGAAACAGTGGGAAGGTTGGAAGCAGGGATTGATCCCTGTTCTCAGGTGGAAAGCTGTATGTGACATGTGCCGGGGAGTGTTACCACTAAACCAAGGCTCTGAACAGGAAATACTCATATTAATGGTTGATGGCAGTGGGTAACCAAATCATAGATTGCAGTCTCCTTGTCCATAGACTACTTTCAAGGTAAGGAACCAAACACCTTGTATTTTGGGTGAACTCTCTCTTTAGAATAGGCTGGAAGAAAATCCTGCTTGCTCTACAGGGGGGTTGATCTATGTTTCTCAAGTGCTGGGAGTTTGAAAATGTTCTTGTTATAACAATTAATTTCTCAAAATCACCCAACCTTCAAGAAAAATCTAATGAATATCAATATTAAATGTGGTTTATGCCTACTAGTTGAAGATCCTTGCCATCATCTTACGCTACATAAATACGATGTGTTTATGAGTTGTTAGTCCCCCTACCATCTCTGCCTAGCATGTGCACAATATTAAAATGTCAAAAATTATATTTGAGGCCTGGAGCATTCAATATCAAATGCTTATTTGAATGACTTATTCAAAACTGTCCATGAATGGCTGTAAAAATACATAGCCTCATAATTCATTTTCAAAGACACAAGTATGCATATCAGATTTCAAATATATGATGACACTGGCAAAATTGGGAAGAAGTGTAATAATAAAAGAAGTATGGGGAATAACAGTAGTGTTCTTGCTGCTAAGCACACTAATTATCCTATATTTTAGCCCATTGTTAAGAATGACAATTGTTCCACTGATCAGACTAAATAAAGTAAATAGCTAATACAAACTTCTGAAGACAAAATTACATAAATATGTCCCTACACTAACCTAAATATTTATTTATTTATATTCCACCCTCTTTTCATAGTTCCTAATCAGGTCACCCTACCAAACTTCCCTGCTAAAACATAGGTCTGTCTGTCTGCTGCCTTTTCGTTGTCACAGCCTAAATTCCAATCACCTTACAAGGGGACTAATGCAAGTGTGGATTAAATCGACTTTAGTACATGCTGTCAAAAGGCTAATGGACTAATTGGAAAAATAAAAGCAGTACTTTTCAATGCGTGAGATATAAGAAGTGTGGTGTGTGAGGGTGAGAAGAGGGTGAAATGTGTGTCTCATGGCCAATGTGTTTAGTTAAAAGATGAGACATAATAATTGTAACCAGAAAATACTATTAACATGTAAATATTATTGGTAACAGAATAAATAGCAGAAGAATACATGCAGATTAAATAATGCTGTAATTTAAAATTATACACCCAATGTAGGCTACTGCCCCTTTGAGATATAATTGATTTTGCACCCTATGTTGTGATTCTCACCAAATATGTTGTAGTTTTCTCACACTGTTCAAACCCAATAATCAAATAAACAGTTTATGAAGCTCTCTTAGCCTATAGATCCCATATTGCAAACAAATAATCTGTCCAAAAACAGCATAATTTTTTTTCTGTGACCCTGGGATGTTATTATTAGCCAAACAGTCAACTAAAACAAGAGTTTATATTGGACAAATTCAAGTAGGTTCTTACCCATTTCGCTCTGTATGCTTCCGTTTAAGAAACGTTTTGCAAAATAATTGGCGTAATGAATACACCCCTGCACATCATCATCTTCTCTCTTTCGTGGCACCAATGTGAGGGGTTATGGCACGGGAAACGGTGTTGGAGTAATTTAGCGTGTGGTGTGGGAAAAATGACAAGTGAACCTGGGGAGCTTTGCGTTCACATTGCCCTAAAAAAGGGAACCGGACTGCGAAATTCAAGCGAACTAAACTCAGACCATCTCTCGAGATGGTCTCAGTTCGGTTTGCCTCAGGGGCTCTTTTGAGTGTTCATGCTGCACAAAAAATTAAGCGAACCACACTGAGTTCACAAAAAAACACCCTCTGATATCAGTGGCGGCTCCTGAAAAAATTCTCAGGAGGGGCAATTTTTCTGATGATTTAGGTGACCTACACACATTTTAAAAAAGATATGTCCAGCAACAACATGAAGACAGGGGCAGCATATAAGTCAATACCAGAAGCATTTATTGACTGATCTGGGGAGATGGATTCCAGTTTCTGTGACAGATTATAAATAATCTCTGATGCCTTTGTTATATTAGCTTTTGGTTGAATGTACTGTCGTAGTAAATATATAATGTTATAGCTTGGTCTGACTAAAATCTTGTGCATGACCCATTTTGTGTTGGGCGTTTGTTTTCAATCAATGCTGTTCCTATCCTATAACAATGGACAAAAGAGTCCTATCTTGTCAGCCTTGTCAGCAGGTGGCTAAGGACAACACCCACGCCATAGGTCTCTCAGTTCTTCCAACTCACGAGTTCTTGCTCTGAGGACACACACACACACACACACACACATCATCACTGATAAACACACACACACACACACACACACACACATCATCATCACTGTTAAACACACACACACACACAAAAATCCCCTTCTCTTAGGCTGAACATCTGAAGACAGAGAACCCGACTCAGAGCCAATGCAACAGTGATACTAACCTGGAGGGGACGTCGCCCAACTCATCAGGACCAATCAGAAGATCAGAACTACTAGATTCAACCTACTTCATTTTATTGTATAAAATGTCAGCACACAATGTTTCGGGGCTCTCTTCTGATAAACTCCCTACGAGTTTGACGAACGGGTCCGTGCACGCTATTCCAGATATCTTTACCTCTGAATAAACTGCCTATATTATACCATTATCCACCCTGTCCAAAGTCTCTACTTGGTCTCAGTTCTCCAGTAAACTTGTTTTATCAACAAAAGCAGTTCAATGTCGGGGTACAGAGTCGCTCTCTTACCAGGATCGCGGTCCGCTCTGACCAGGGTGAAGCCGGCCGGCACCACTTCTCTGTCCGGGACTCTGTCATCCAGCCAAGTCTCCCAGCTGTATTGGGATTCCGCTGCCAGCAGCGTTTTCATTATTTAGTCCGTTCGTAGCGGGTATGTACACGATCAACAAGATCAGTCCAAAACCAACCACTGGAAATCCATGGTTGGCAGAATGTTTGTAAACTAAGTCTACAAATTAAAAACATAAAATAACGCCACACTGCAGGTCGCAACAGAGACGCTGCTAGCCGCTATTGTCTTAGTTACGTTCATGGTTACGTCACGTATGACGAAAGCGCGTAAGTGCAAGCCCACAGACACCCATAGAGAATGTATTGAAAGCTTTGAAATTTGAAAAAAATAGATTTTACATGACAGGCTATGAGAGACTTCTGGGCGATTTTCAACTTGACTGAAATCGCCCCAAAAACGGGCGGGGCCATTTGAAGCACGACTTTAGCCTGATTTGACATTTAGTGGCTGGCAGATCAGACGTGAACACTGATAACTACTGTTGCCGTGATATAATTGATTAGAAAAAAAATCCCTTCCTTTTCCCGTTTGGCAGTGCGTCGCCCATATCGCCCTATTGAACAAGCCGTCCCTGTCTGATATGACTTTCCACCCTGTTCATTTGTTGTAATTACCCTTTAAGAAAACAACCCCTTCCTACAATAAAACCACATTCAGAAAGTGTCATAATTTCTTTGGTGGGAAAACAACGGCGCAAAGTTAAATAAATATAAACACTCAGTTGTATCTATTTTTCCATGTTATAATGCCGTATCTCCCACTCATACATTTCTATTCTGTTAGCCTAGATTATAAAGATGATAGATTATTTCAAAATGTTAAAATATGTTTGATAGAGAAGTTAAAATCCTGTTCAAGCGTTCACCATTATGCTAGCTCAATCTTACTCACTCACAGAGCTATGCCTAATTCAGGCTCCAAATATCCACCATGTTAGGTTCCACCCTGTTAGGATTATGCACCTAACATGTTGGAAAATGCAGCAAAAAAAATTTAAGTGCTTGACCAATATGTTTTAGCTAGCTGGTTAGCAATTTTCTTATGTCTCTAGCTAGCTAGCTAGCTAGCTCTGTCTTTTAAAGAAAACTACTGACCACAACTACTGACCACAACCACACCTACTGACCACACAACTATTGAACCACACAACTACTGGCCACAAACACACAACTACTGACCACAACCACACAACTTATGACCATACAACTACTGACCACACCTACTGATCACAACAACACAACTACTCACCATAACTACTGAACACAACCACACAACTACTGACCACACAATTACTAACCACAACTACTGACCACAACCAAACAACTACTGACCACAACTACAAACCCCAACTACACAACTACTGACCAAAACTACTGACCTCAACACTACTGACCTCAACTACTGACAAACTACTGACCACAACTACTGACTACAACTACTGACCACAACTACTGACTACAACCACACCTACTGACCACACAACTATTGAACCACACAACTACTGGCCACAAACACACAACTACTGACCACAACCACACAACTTATGACCATACAACTACTGACCACACCTACTGATCACAACAACACAACTACTCACCATAACTACTGAACACAACCACACAACTACTGACCACACAATTACTAACCACAACTACTGACCACAACCAAACAACTACTGACCACAACTACAAACCCCAACTACACAACTACTGACCAAAACTACTGACCTCAACACTACTGACAAACTACTGACCACAACTACAACTACTGACCACAACTACTGACTACAACTACTGACCACAACCACAACTATTGAACCACACAACTACTGACCACAACTACTGACTACAACTACTGACCACAACCACAACTATTGAACCACACAACTACTGACCAAAACTACTGACCAAAACTACTGACCACACAACTACAGACCACACAACTACTGACCATAAGGTTGTGTCGGCTGTGTGTTGTGTAGGCTATGCGTTCGGGTACAGAAGTCTGTGTCATCATGCAAAATGATAATTTTAGAGTGTGTATTAGTTGAAGTGCTTCAGTTCTAGCCCACCCAATTTTCCAGAAAAAAATTCTGGCTACACTACTGACATTAAGATGTCCATTGTCCTTGCCAATCAGGATTTCATTGCGAATGTTGGAATATTGTTAATTATTTTGACATATAAAATGACCATAATTACACAGTTGTAGGCAACGAATTTAACCACAAGCTGAAGTGTCTATGATATCATAATCTAACCACTCGACAAGCCTACGGTGGCGCCAAATTCAACCTGTGAGTCTCCAAGCACTGTAACGCTTTAATGAACCTGTCACGACTTTTCTAATGTTTTAATTTGCATCAATTAAATAAATAGACTATCCATTATTGTTCACAACCCCCTGTCATAACCACGATTAGGCCTACCTGCCATATTGGTGTAGTCCAACAGTTGCCTAGGCTACATGGAATACCAGGATGCATACTCAGAGCATGCACTGACCAGCAGGCAAGTGTCTTCACTGACATTTTTAACCTATCCCTGACCCAGTCTGTAATACCAACTTGTTTCAAGCAGACCACCATAGTACCCATGCCCAAGAACGCTATGGTAACCTGCCTAAATGACTATTGCCCCGTAGCACTCACATCTATAGCCATGAAATGCTTTGAAAGGCTGGTCATGGCTCACATCAACACCATCATCCCAGACACCCTGGACGCACTCCAATTTGCAGATGACGCAATCTCTATTGCACTTCACACTGCGCTCACCCACCTGGACAAAAGGAATACCTATGTAATAATGCTGTTGATTGACTACAGCTCAGCATTGAACACCATAGTCCCCTCCAAGCTCATCACCTAGCTCGGAACCCTGGGACTGAACACCTCCCTCTGCAACTGGATCTTGGACTTCCTGACGGGCCGCCTCCAGGCTGTGAGGGTAGGCAACAACACATCCGCCACGGTGACCATCAACATGGGGGCCCCTCAGGGGTGTGTGCTTAGTCCCCTCCTGTACCCCCTGTTCACGACAACCGCGCACGACTCCAACACCATCATCAAGTTTGCTGATGGTGGTAGGACTGATCACCGACAACGATGAGGCAGCCTATAGGGAGAAGGGTCAGAGACCTGGCAGTGTGGTGCCAGGACAACAACCTCTCCCTCAACATCAGCAAGACAAAGGAGCTGATTGTGGACTACAGGAAACGGAGGGGCGAGCACGCCCCTATCCACATCGATGGGAATGTAGTGGAGCGGGTCTAGAGCTTCCACATCACTAAGGAATTAACATGGTCCACACACACCCACACAGTTGTGAAGAGGGATCGACAGCGCCTCTTCCCCCTCAGGAGGCTGAAAAGATTTGGCATGGGCACTCAGATCCTCAAAAAGTTATACAGCTGCACCACTGAGAGCATCTTGACTGGCTACATCACCGCTTGGTACGTCAACTGCAAGGCACCCGACCAGAAGACGCTACAGAGGGTGGTGAGTACGGCCCAGTACATCACTGGGGCCGAACTCCCTGCCATCCAGGACCTATATACTAGGCAGTGTCAGAGGAAGGCCCAAACAATCGTCAAAGTCTCCAGCCACCCAAGCCATAGACTGTTCTCTCTACTACCACACGGCAAGCGGTACCAGTGCACCAAGTCTGGAACCAACAGGACCCTGAACAGCTTCTACCCCTAAGCCATAAGACTGTTCAACAATACTGGTAAATAGCTAATCAAATGGCTACACGGCCTACAATCTCTCCCTCAACGTGATCAAGACAAAGGAGATGATCGTGGACTACAGGAGTCATCAAGGCAAAGGGTGGCTATTTGAAGAATCTCAAATATAAAATATATATTGATTTGTTTAACACTTTTTTGGTTACTACATGATTCCATGTGTTATTTCATAGTTTTGTTTTCTTCACTATTATTCTACAATGTAGAAAATAGAAAATAAATAATAATACTTTTTTTGAATGAGTAGGTGTGTCCAAACCTTTGACTGGTACTGTACATATTACCTAGACTAACCAGTACCCCGCACAATGACTTGGTAACGGTACCCCCTGTATATAGCCTCCTCATTATTATTTTATTGTTGCTTTTGTATTTTTTAACTTTAGTTTACTTTTTTTTTATTCATAACTCTTATTTTTCTTAAAACTGCATTGTTGGTTAAGGGCTTGTAAGTAAGCATTTCACTGTAAGGTCTACACCTGTTGTTTTCAGCGCATGTGAAAAATAACATTTGATTTGATTTGATTTATTAGGATCCCAATTAGCCGACGCCAGTGGCGACAGCTAGTCTTACTGGGGTCGGACATTAAACAAAAAATACATTACAGACAAAATACCTTACAATTTACACACATTTAAAAACATTAACATGTAGTGTGTGTGTGCATCTATCAGTTACACATACATGTCAGTACATACACATACCAAGTAGGTCACATGGGGGAGAGGTGTTGTGCCGTGAGGTGATGCTTTATTCGTTTTTTGAAACTTTACTGTTCACTTGCGCTATATTAGTTGGAAGAGAGTTCCACGGACTCATGGCTCTGTATAATACTGTACGTGTCCTTGAATTTGTTCTGGACCTGGGGACTGTGAAAAGATCTCTTGTGGCATGTCTGGTGGGGTAAGTATGTGTGCAAGTTCACTATGCAAACAATTTGGAATTTCCAAAACATTCACATTTCTTATAAAAACAAGAAGTGACGCAGTCAGTCTTTGCTCACCTCTTAGCCAAGAGAGGCTGGCATGCATAGTATTAATATTAGCCCTCTGATTACAATGAAGAGCAAGACGGGACACTCTGTTCTGGGCCAGCTGCATCTTAACTAGGTCTTTCTTTGCAGCACTTGACCATATGACTGGACAATAATCAAGATAAAATAAAACTAGAGCCTGCAGGACATGCTTTATAGAGTGTTGTGTCAAAAAAGCAGAGAAATCTCGTTATTATGGATAGACCTCTCCCCATCTTTCCAACCATCAAATCTATATGTTTTGACCATGACAGTTTACAATCTAAGGTAACACCAAGTAATTTAGTCTCCTCAACTTGTTCAACAGCCACACCATTCATTACCAGATTCAGCTGAGGTCTAGAACTTCGGGAATGGTTTGTACCAAATACAATGCGCTTAGTTTTAGAGATGTTCAGGACCAGTTTATTCCTGGCCACCCATTCCAAACTCTTTGTTAAGGGTTTCAGTGACTTCATTGGCTGTGGTTGCTGATATGGTTGAATCATCAATATACATGGACACACATGCTTTGTTTAATGCCAGTGGCAGGTCATTGGTAAAAGTAGAAAAAAAGTATAGGGCCTAGAGAGCTGCCCTGCGGTACACCACACTTTACATGTTTGACATTAGAGACTCTTGGCATTCTCTCAACCAGCTTCACCTGGAATGCTTTTCCAACAGTCTTGAAGGAGTTCCCACATATGCTGAGCACTTGTTGGCTGCCTTTCCTTCCCTCTGCAGTCCAACTCATCCCAAACCATCTCAATTGGGTTGAGGTAGGGTGATTGTGGAGGCCAGGTCATCTGATGCAGCACTCGATCACCCTCCTTCTTGGTCAAATAGCCCTTACACAGCCTGGAGGTGTGTTGGGTCATTGTCTTGTACTGTACGTTTTCTCAACAACAGGTTATGGTCAATAATATCAAAGGCTGCACTGAAATCTAACAGTACAGCTCCCACAATCTTCTTTTATCAATTTCTTTCAACCAATCATCAGTAATTTGTGTCAGTACGGTACATGTTGAGTGCCCTTCTCTATAAGCATGCTGAAAGCATGTTGTTAATTTGTGTACAGAGAAGTAGCATTGTATTTGGTCAAACACCATTTTTTCCAACAGTTTTATAAGAGCTGGCAGCAAGCTGATAGGTCTGCTGTTAGAACCAGGTAAAAGCCACTTTGGGTACAGGAATGACTTTGGCTTCCCTCCAGGCCTGAGGAGAAAGCCTTTCCTCTAGGCTCAGATTAAAGATATGACAGATAGGAGTGCCTATAGAGTCAGCTACCATCCTCAGTAGCTTTCCATCTAAGTTGTCAATGCCAGGTTTGTCATTATTGATCGATAACAATAATTGTTCCACCTCTCCCACACTAACTTTACAAAATTCAAACTTGCAATGCTTTTTCTCGTTATTATTTCTTTTTTTATACTTTTTCTAAATTTTTATATGACGCTCACTGTTTGTTGTTTGAATTTACTGCCTACGTTTGCCCACATTGAAAATGAAGTAATCATGAAAATAATTGTCAAAATCAAAGGTGATTCGATGAAAGATGGAGTTGAATTTGTCTTTCTGCCCATCATTTCATTATTTTTTTATTTTTTTCATCATTCTTTATATAATTGATCTTGGCTTCATAATACAGTTTCTTCTTCTTTTTGTTGAGTTTAGTCACATAATTTCTCAATTTGCAGTAAGTCAGCCAGTCAGATGTGCAGCCAGACTTATTAGCCACTCCTTTTGCTCCCATCTCTTTCAACCATACAGTTTTTCAATTCCTCATCAATCCATGGAGCCTTAACAGTTCTAACAGTCAGTTTCTTAACAGGTGCATGTTTATCAATAATTGGAAGAAGCAATTTCATAAATTCATCAAGTGCAGTGTCTGGATGCTCCTTATTAATCACATCAGACCAACAAATATTTTTAACATCATCCACATAACAGTCACAGCAAAATCTCTTGTATGATCTCTTATACACTATTTTAGGCTATAGCCACTATATTGTGATCACTGCATCCAATGGGTATGGATACAGCTTTAGAACAAAGTTCTACAGTATTAGTAGAAATGTGATCAATATATGTGGATGATCTTGTTCCTGTAGTGTTTGTAAACACCCTGGTAGGTCGATTAATAATCTGAACCAGATTACAGGCACTGGTTACAGTGAGAAGCTTCCTCTTGAGCGGACAGCTTGATGAAAACCAGTCAATATTCAGGTCCCCAAGAAAGTAGACCTCTCTGTTTACATCACATACACTATCCAGCATTTCACACATATTATTTAGATGCAATTAGCAATTAGTGGCCTATAGCAACGCCCCAAAAGAAAAGCCTTTAGATGTGCCAGGTGAACCTGCAACCACAACATTTCAATAACACTTGACATAAGATCTTCTCTAATCATTACAGGTACAGTGGGGAGAACAAGTATTTGATACACTGCCGATTTTGCAGGTTTTCCTACTTACAAAGCATGTAGAGCTCTGTAATTTATCACAGGTACACTTCAACTGTGAGAGACAGAATCTAAACAAAAATCCAGAAAATCACATTGTATGATTTTTAAGTAATTAATTTGCATTTTATTGCATGACATAAGTATTTGATACATCAGAAAAGCAGAACTTAATATTTGGTACAGAAACCTTTGTTTGCAATTACAGAGATCATACGTTTCCTGTAGGTCTTGACCAGGTTTGCACACACTGCAGCAGGGTTTTTGGCCCACTCCTCCATACAGACCTTCTCCAGATCCTTCAGGTTTCGGGGCTGTCGCTGGGCAATACGGACTTTCAGCTCCCTCCAAAGATTTTCTATTGGGTTCAGGTCTGCAGACTAGCTAGGCCACTCCAGGACCTTGAGATGCTGCTTACGGAGCCACTCCTTAGTTGCCCTGGCTGTGTGTTTTGGGTCGTTGTCATGCTGGAAGACCCAGCCACGACCCATCTTCAATGCTCTTACTGAGGGAAGGAGGTTGTTGGCCAAGAACTCGCGATACATGGCCCCATCCATCCTCCCCTCAATACGGTGCAGTCGTCCTGTCCCCTTTGCAGAAAAGCATCCCCAAAGAATGATGTTTCCACCTCCATGCTTCACGGTTGGGATGGTGTTCTTGGGGTTGTACTCATCCTTCTTCTTCCTCCAAACACAGCGAGTGGAGTTTAGAACAAAAAGCTCTATTTTTGTCTCATCAGACCACATGACCTTCTCCCATTCCTCCTCTGGATCATCCAGATGGTCATTGGCAAACTTCAGACGGGCCTGGACATGCGCTGACTTGAGCAGGGGGACCTTGCGTGAGCTGCAGGATTTTAATCCATGACGGCGTAGTGTGTTACTAATGGTTTTCTTTGAGACTGTGGTCCCAGCTCTCTTCAGGTCATTGACCAGGTCCTGCCGTGTAGTTCTGGGCTGATCCCTCACCTTCCTCATGATCATTGATGCCCCACGAGGTGAGATCTTGCATGGAGCCCCAGACCGAGGGTGATTGACCGTCATCTTGAACTTCTTCCATTTTCTAATAACTGCGCCAACAGTTGTTGCCTTCTCACCAAGCTGCTTGCCTATTGTCCTGTAGCCCATCCCAGCCTTGTGCAGGTCTACAATTTTATCCCTGATGTCCTTACACAGCTCTCTGGTCTTGGCCATTGTGGAGTGGTTGGAGGCTGTTTGATTTAGTGTGTGGACAGGTGTCTTTTATACAGGTAACGAGTTCAAACATGTGCAGTTAATACAGGTAATGAGTGGAGAACAGGAGGGCTTCTTAAAGAAAAACTAACAGGTCTGTGAGAGCCGGAATTCTTGCTGGTTGGTATGTGATCAAATACTTATGTCATGCAATAAAATGCAAATTAGTTACTTAAAAATCATACAATGTGATTTTCTGGATTCCGTCTCTCACAGTTGAAGTGTACCTATGATAAAAATTACAGACCTCTACATGCTTTGTAAGTAGGAAAACCTGCAAAATCGGCAGTGTATCAAATACTTGTTCTCCCCACTGTACTTCCAAAGTTGTGGCAAACTGGCTTAAGGACAACAAAGTTAAGGTATTGGAGTGGCCATTACAAAGCCCTGACCTCAATTCTATAGAAAATGTGTGGGCAGAACTGAAAAAGCGTGTGCGAGCAAGGAGGCCTACAAACCTGACTCAGTTACACCAGCTCTGTCAGGAGGAATGGGCCAAAATTCACCCAACTTATTGTGGGAAGCTTGTGGAAGGCTACCCGAAACGTTTGACCCAAGTTAAACAATTTAAAGGCAATGCTACCGAATACTACTTTATTGTATGTAAACTTCTGACCCACTGGGAATGTGATTAAATAAATAAAAGCTGAAATGAATCATTCTCTCTACTATTATTCTGACATTTCACATTCTTAAAATAAAGTGGTGATCCTAACTGACCTAAAACAGGGAATTTTTACTAGGATTAAATGTCAGGCTAACAACATTGAGGTAAGAAGCTATCCATTTTGATACATGACATAGGCCTTTAGTATTTTCATATTTTGATGTATGCTTTCATATTCAATGTGAAATGTCCCTTTTCGATGATTTCCAAAAAAAACTAGTGTAGGTTTGCGAAATCTCAAAGGAGCTTCAAGCGTATGCTACCACGATACTTTACAGTTCAAAGCCTGCATATTTCAGCTCCTGTCATCCTAATTGTACTTTTTGGGATCTGCGGGAAAAAACGTAAAAGAGGACCACTGCAATATAAAATCTCCAAAAGTTGATGCGAGTAAGCGGCACCGATATAGGCCTAATGTTGATGATTTGTTACAGAAATACCGCACTGAGTGACTTTTCGGTGGAAATGAGCCTGGGCCTGGGTGGACACCCTAAAAAAATGAATACATTGCGTGATCATTGTGGAACGGATACATAAACGTGGTTGTTTGCACCTGTTAAGACAGCGATGTGCACATTCCAATGATCCAAACAGTCTAGATGGGATGAACGGGACAGTAGGAACAATTTCTGATAGCGGGCTTAGGAAACACTTTTTTGTAGGCTATTCTTAGAATGACATCTTTGGAGCATTGTTCATTACCACTGCCACTGTCTGCTTTCCCACTTTATGACAGTGCTATTGTAAAAATGGCCCTACAGTATACAATGTATGGTAGCCTGACAACAATGAGTTAAAGCAATCAAATCCAATGATAATCGACCGTCCGTAGGATGAGGTGCCGCTATTTTTTAGGCTAATCTACAGTATAGCCTACTATGTTATTCTATATAGGATATTCTCCAATTCAATTTGATACCCTGTCAAAGAAATGCACGGTTGCATGATTTCATTAGTAATTGGCACTGAGAGCAGAGGCGATCAATGTATGCAACATTGGTCATTCAATGTTTTAGGTCATATCTAGCTGTTTACATAATTTTGGAGCCCAATGTCATCTAGTGACATACTTTACTAAGTATGTGTGATCTGTACTGTTAACTGAGTCTTATGGACAAGTCATCAAGCCTGCATGTGTAGTTATGGTGACCTGCATGTGTGGTCTTCTGTAGCTCAGTTGGTAGAGCATGGCGCTTGTAACGCCAGGGTAGTGGGTTCGATCCACGGGACCACCCATACGTAAAAATGTATGCGCACATGACTGTAAGTCGCTTTGGATAAAAGCGTCTGCTAAATGGCATATTATTATTATTATTATTATTATAGTTATGGTGACTCCAGGGGTGATAATAAGGCATGTGCATTCATTTGAATTTCAAGACAAGGGCAGTTAAACTTGTCTCTTTCTTCTTTTAAGGTAAACATCCAAAATACAAATTGTCTTACTTTAGCTGCTTCGATTAAACATTTTGATAACTGTTAGCCTATACTTTTTATACTGTAAGCATTTCAAGTTGCATGAATCAACATTGGAACATTGGTTTCAATGGTCATCAAATATTTACTTTGCATTGGTTTTACTGGAAGATATCTCAAAGATATAGGCCTAACTATCTCACTATGTAAACTTCTTCCACTACCATTAATATGAATACTTTCAGTCAGCTGAGCAAGCACACAAAGGTTCTACTGAACTTCCCTTTCTAGTTTCAATTTCTATTTTCAGCGCAGTTCATACATAATAGTCCAAAAGGTTTAACTTAATAATTACCAGACACATGCCTCTAGCCTCACTACATGACCTCTCACCTTTGGCGTCTAGACTGGCGGCACGATGGCTGCTGTCAAACTTCCACTTCCTGAAGTAAGGCCCTGCCCCCTCCAAGCTGGCATGACGTCTCAGTTTGCAGAAAAACTGCAGAACAGAACCCTGGTGGCCGGGGACCGGAGACATTCCCCTCACTCGTCTCGTCCCTCTCATCCGACTCTCTCGCTCTCCTTCCGTCCTGACCCATGCCCCGTCCCCTACGGCCTCCACCTGACAAAGCAGATAGAGGGAGAAGGAGAGAGGAAGACAAAGATGGAGAGTGAGGGATGGAGGAGATATTACTTAAGACAGGCAGCAGTAGCTAAGCCTCTAGTGAAACTTTTCAGTCTGTGAAAGTAATGTCCCCTCCCAACTTCCTGCAGCTCTCCTTCTCTAATGAGTCATTTTATATAAATATAAACTGTCCTATTTTATGTGTACTATTGGCAAGTTTTTTTCCCCCAATCACTTTTGACTTCTAGTGGTTTTGACAGGACAGATATGAGCAGGCCTAGAGATCGGGAGATACTGTAGATATAGAACCCAAACCCCCATCAGCAAGGGGCATGTGTGGTCCGGAATCTGGATCGTTACCGCTACATCAGTCTGTATTGCCATTTTAAAAAAAGCTAGAATCCTTAGTTGCTACATACCCATTGACTCTTAAAGAATACCCCACCAGAACCCCAAATATAAGCATGTTTTACTAAAATGTTTGTAAACAATGTAATCAAACACTGTATAGCCTCAAAACATGGTTAAAACTATACATTTAATATCATGGATGGTCAGTCCTTGCATCCATAGCTCTGTCTTTGAATTTGAGAGTGGTTATATTTATCCAGCCCCATTCCCTTAGCGTTTTAGCGAAACAGTGGCGGGGAAAACATTCTGTTATTGTTTCAATTAAGGATTCTAGATTTAAGTGTGTGTATAAAATCATGTATAACACTCACGGTTCTAGAGCAGGGGGTCGGGGGGGACAGGATTGGCGGACTGTGGCTGAGTCTGGGGTCCAGTAGAATGTAGTGGTGGGTGTCTCCGGGGAGGGCACCACTAGAGCTCTGGCCCAACCAGGTGCGCACAGCCCTCTCAGAAGACTAGGGACAACACACAAGGTTGAGTTAGGATCATCAGGGAAAAGCAATCCCAAGGCTGAGTAGTTAAAGCAGCTAGCTATTTATCTACCTTCCCAGACACCAGAAGTTCTAATGCGCCCAACCAATGAATGCTGGGTTTTTTTTTTTTTGCTAAATGTAAACGTCTCAGAGGCTTGTTTACCTGGAAGAGGGGGAGTTTGGGAGCAAGTGGTTTGTTGACGTTAAGGCTGCTGCTCTCTGTAGACTCACACTCCATGATGGTGAGGATCTTTAGGGTGGAGGGAGGGAGGGCCAGGTGGAGGTGGGTCAGACGGGCCTTCTTCAGGTGATGGAAGTCCCCTTCTGTAAGGGTGTACCTGAGTAGGAGGAGAGGAAGGAAATGGTATCTAACTTTAATTTAGTCAGGAGTTCCTATTAGATAAAGAGATTGTGTTTTTCAAGGAAGACCTGGCTTCAAAGACCTTAACATTGTATGGAGACAACGCTCCACTTCTACCATCAATCTGTACTTGTGTTGCACCCATAGAGAATGATAGAGGACTCTTTTTTAAATCTGTCCCATTATGACATCTGTGAGCGCACAGGCAGCGCCATTGAGGCCATCTCCATTTTGAAGTAGTACATTTTCTTCTACTACTACTTGAGTTGATAAACAAAATGAAAGGGTACATACTGCCACCTGGAGTTGTTTGAACAGGTATGAAGCCAAGGTTGCCGATTTACTGCCACCTGCAGTTATGGAATGTTTGCTCACAAGCATAATTCATCGGCTGATCCCTCCTGATGACCCGGATGGAATTATGTGATCCTTCCTTAACCCATTAGAAGTCCCACCCAGTTGACTACTTCAAAATGATGAAAGTCCTCAATTGCACTGCCCATGCTAAAACTGGCTTTTGGGCCCTAGAGTCCTCTATCTATCTCTATGGTTGCACCATCAACTTGAGTGATACACGGCAGCCATTTTGTGAATAACATTGTCCTATACCTGCGTCCTTTGTCCTGAGTCTGACTCTCCTTTTCGTAGAGCGCTGACTCATTGAAGGAGACGCGGCGTCCAGTAGAGCAGGTGGACATGAACCTGTCGGTCTCTTCATCATGGCAGCTAGACGCAGAGAGAGCATCTGACTCATCCAACCGGATGGTGATGTCTGAAGAGAGGAGAGGAGTAACAAATAAAGAAAAAATAAAAGGAGAACGGTGTCAGTTGCTATGGTTTTGATCAAACTTATTCTGTATCTAAACTGAAGTAGAATGTACATCCTCCATACCTTGTGTGGGCAATGAATCTTCCACATAGGTGGTGTTAGTCTTCTCTGGATCATCACTGGCCCTGCAGTCAGAGGAGAGAAAAGAGAAGAAGGAAAATAGAGAAAATACACTGAACCAAAATATAAACGCAACAATTCTAAAGATTTTACAGAGTTTTTTTTTTTTTCATTTAGCAGACACTCTTATCCAGAGCGACTTACAGGAGCAATTAGGGTTAAGTGCCTTGCTCAAGGGCACCGACAGATTTTTCACCTAGTCGGCTCAGGGATTAGAACCAGCGACCTTTCGGTTACTGGCACAACGCTCTTAACCACTAAGCTACCTGCCGCCCGTTACAGTTCATATAAGTAAATCAGTCAATTTAAATAAATTCATTAGGCCCTAATCTATGGATTTTACATGACTGGGAATACAGATACGCATCTGTTGGTCAAAGGTAGGGGCGTGGATCAGAAAACTAGTCAGTATCTGGTGTGACCACCATTTGCCTCATCTCCTTCGCATCAGGCTGTTGATTGTGGCTTGTGGAATGTTGTCCCACTCCTCTTCAATGGCTGTGCGAAGTAGCTGGATATTGGCGGGAACTGGAACACGCTGTCGTACCCGTCGATCCAGAGCATCCCAAACATGCTCAATGGGTGACATGTCTGGTGAGTATGCAGGCCATGGAAGAACTGGGACATTTTCAGCTTCCAGGAATTGTGTACAGATCCTTGCATCATGGTGCCGTGCATTATCATGCTGAAACATGAGGTGATGGCGGCGGATGAATGGCATGACAATGGGCCTCAGGATCTTGTAACGGTATCTCTGTGCATTCAAATTGCCATTGATAAAATGCAATTGTGTTAGTTGTACGTAGCTTATGCCTGCCCAAACCATAACCCCACCGCCACCATGGGGCACTCTGTTCACAACGTTGACATCAGCAAACTGCTCGCCCACACGACGCCATACACACCATTTGCCATCTTCCCGGTACAGTTGAAACCAGTGTGCCAGTGGCCATCGAAGGTGAGCATTTGACCACTGAAGTCGGTTACGATGACGAACTGCTGTCAGGTCAAGACCCTGGTGAGGTTGACGCCCACGCATATGAGTTTGACAGTTTGTACAGAAATTATTTGGTTGTGCAAGCCCACAGTTTCATCAGCTGTCCGGGTGGCTGGACTGATCCCGCAAGTGAAGAAGCCAGATGTGGAGGTCATGGGCTGGCATGGTTACACGTGGTCTGCAGTTGTGAGGCCGGATGGGCGTACTGCCAAATTCTCTAAAAGGACGTTGGAGGCGGCTTATAGTAGAGAAATGAACATTCAAATATCTGGCAACAGCTCTGGTGGACATTCCTGCAGTCAGCATGCCAATTGCATGCACCATCAAAACTTGAGGCATCTGTGGGATTGTGTTGTGTGACAATACTGCACATTTTAGAATGGCCTTTTATTGTCCCCAGCACATGGTACACCTGTGTATTGATCATGCTGTTTAATCTGCATCTTGATATGCCACACCTGTCAAGTGGATGGATTATCTTGGCAAAGGAGAAATGCTCACTAACAGGGATGTAAACAAATTTGTGCAAAGAATTCAGAGAAACAAGCTTTTAGCGCGTATGGACTATTTCTGAGATCTTTTATTTCAGCTCATAAAACATGGGACCAACCATTTACATGTTGTGTTTATATTTCTGTTCAGTATAGTATTATTGGTACTCCCTCTTTACTCTTTGCGTGCAAAAATAGAACTGTCTCCAGACAAAGATTTAATGCTCATTTTTATTTCACTGAGCAGTAATCCACTTCTAACATAATCACCCTAACACTGTCTCCTAATCCCTCTATGCAGACATGCTACAGTATTATGCTGTTTTATTCAGGGTTTTTGTTCATACACAATACACATTGGGTATGCTCAGAGTAAGAGTAAGGGACATGACCTATAATACTGTAGTTGTGGTTACTGTAGAGGTGAGAAGTACGTGTGTGTGTGTGTGTGTGCATACGTGCCTTGCGTATTTGTGTGCGTGTTACCTGGAGTAGCGGCGGCCGCCCACACAGCAGCGGTGACAGAACAGCAACAACACGGAGAGCAGGATTAGAGTGCCCCCAGTGGACACACACAGCAGGATCAGCAGGAGCACATAGTCCTCCACCCGCCCTGCCAACACTGGCAGCTCCTGTATAGAGGGAGAGACTACTAGGGTCAGAGGCCTAGTACCATTTCTGCCCCTAGTACCTTACCATAGCCTAGCCACTACCCTTTTGAGTCAATGGGAGTAGGTAGAAGTTGCCCAAATAGATCTGTGGTAAAGGGAACTTCTATCTCGAGGGCTCTTAAAGAGTGACCGATTCTGCATGTTTCTCTCTGTTGCTCATTAAGAAAAAAAAATAGATTTCAGTCTAGGGGGGTGTGGTTAGATGTGGCCGTTACTGATGTTTGTCCCCCATGAGACATCATAAGAACAAATCCAGTATCACTTCCTCAAAATAGATAACTCAAGAAATCTGTACTTAAATTTGAAGTTTTTACAGAGGAGGTTTTAGTCGCACAATTTTACATCTAGCTAAAGGTGTTTGGTGCAGTATTTCTCAAGCTAAAAAAGACGTGTTGTCTTATGTAAACAAAGTCTGATCCACTGTGCTGATGGGAAGGTCTGTCTCACTGTCTGTGTGTTCTGCGGTAGGATTGGATATAGTGCAATCACCGCAGCTGTGTATCCTGTGAGCATTGTCTAAATCAATACCCAACCATCAAGTAAGTCACTTACAAAAGTCCGTTTTGGACTAGACTGACTTTATGACCAAAATGATCCTATTTACACTTTGTAGTCAATTTTGCCACTAGAATAAATGTTTGACTAATATCGATTCCACATAGGCTGTTTTCTATCCAGTGGCAACCCGTCATTCAGGGCAGGTGGGGCAGAAGCGGTTTATCTAAAAATATATATATACACAGTATCAGTCAAAAGTTTGGACACACCAACTCATTCAAGGGTTTTTCTTTAGTTTTACTATTTCTACATTGTAGAATAATAGTGAAGACATCAAAACTATGAAATGACACATATGGAATCATGTAGTAACCAAAAAAGTGTTAAACAAATCAAAATGTATTTGATATTCTTCAAATTAGCCCACCTTTGCCTTGATGACAGCTTTGCAAACTCTTCGCATTCTCTCAACCAGCTTCACCTGGAATTCTTTTCCAACAGTCTTGAAGGAGTTCCCATATATGCTGAACACTTGTTGGCTGCCTTTCCTTCACTCTGCGGTCCAACTCATCCAAAACCATCTCAATTGGGTTGAGGTCAGGTGAATGTGGAGGCCAGGTCATCTGATGCAGCACTCCATCACTCTCCTTCTTGGTCAAATAGCCCTTACACAGCCTGGAGGTGTGTTGGGTCATTGTCCTGTTGAAAAACAAATGATAGTCCCACTAAGTGCAAACCAGATGGGATAGCGTATCGCTGCAGAATGCTTTGGTAGCTATGCTGGTTAAGTGTGCCTTGAATTCTAAATAAATCACTGACAGTGTCACCAGCAAAGCACCCCCACACCATTACACCTCCTCCTCCATGCTTCACAGTGGGAACCACACATGTGGAGATCATCCATTCACCTACTCTGCATCTCACAAAGACACGGCGGTTGGAACCAAAAATCTCAAATTTGGACTCATCAGACCAAAGGACAGATTTCCACCTGTCTAATGTCCATTGCTCGTGTTTCTTGGCCCAAGCTAGTCTCTTTAGTAGTGGTTTCTTTGCAGCAATTCGACCATGAAGGCCTGATTCACACAGTCTCCTCTGAACAGTTGATGTTAAGATGTGTCTGTTACTTGAACTCTGTGAAGCATTTATTTGGGCTGCAATGTCTGAGGCTGGTAACTCTAATGAACATATCCTCTGCAGCAGAGGTAACTCTGGGTCTTCCTTTCCTGTGGCGGTCCTCATGAGAGCCAGTTTCATCATAGCGCTAGATGGTTTTTGCGACTGAACTTGAAGAAACTTTCAAAGTCCTTGAAATGTTCTGTATTGACTTACCTTCATATCTTAAAGTAATGATGGACTGTCATTTCTCTTTGCTTATTTGAGCTGTTCTTGCCATAATATGGACTTGGTCTTTTACCAAATAGGGCTATCTTCTGTATACCACCCCTACCTTGTCACAACACAACTGATTGGCTCAAACGCATTAAGGCACACCTGTTAATTGAAATGCATTCCAGGTGACTACCTCATGAAGCTGGTTGAGAGAATGCCAAGTGTGTGCAAAGCTGTCATCAAGGCAAATGGTGGCTATTTGAAGAATCTCAAATATATTTGGATTTGTTTAACACTTTTTTGGTTACTACATAATTCCATATGTTATTTCATAGTTTTGATGTCTTCACTATTATTCTACAATGTAAAAAAAAGAAAAATCCTTGAATGAGTAGGTGTGTCCAAACTTTTGACTGGTAGTGTACATGTTATTGAATCATTTCATCTAAAATGCTCACGTTCGTCAACGAGCACCTGCGTAGCCAGGCGCTAAAATAGAATAAATAAAATAGGTTCTATTTTTGACGGTTGATGCGCTGCAAGACCCGCCTCTCCCATCTCCTCATTGGTTTTTTGGAGCATATACCCACGTGGGTGATTGAAAGATGAACTGAGATCCACACTCCAGTCCAGTTGGTGGTAATGCACTTTAAAGTTGGTTGCCAAATGACATATGAAGTCCACAGAAGAAGACGAAGACGAATACTACTACTACTACTGAAGGAGGAGAGATTACTATAAACTAACTAGGCTTCCCCTTTTATCTGTGGTTTAAATGTCGGAGTAGAGAACACACGATTTTGTGAGACTCAAAATGGGTTAAAATTCTACAAAGATCCAGAAAAAAAAGGACCTTGTGCATTTCAGGTAAAATAACAACCCAATGTTTATATCCCAGGACAAATTAGCTAGCAACAGCAAGCTAGCTAGCTAAATGGCCATGAATGTTTCATGTGTTTAGACCTGTCCCCAAATGTATATACACTGCTCAAAAAAATAAAGGGAACACTTAAACAACACAATCACACTTCTGTGAAATCAAACAGTCCACTTAGGAAGCAACACTGATTGACAATAAATTGCACATGCTGTTGTGCAAATGGAATAGACAACAGGTGGAAATTATAGGCAATTAGCAAGACACCCCCAATAAAGGACTGGTTTTGCAGGTGGAGACCACAGACCACTTCTCAGTTCCTATGCTTCCTGGCTGATGTTTTGGTCACTTTTGAATGCTGGCGGTGCTTTCACTCTAGTGGTAGCATGAGACGGAGTCTACAACCCACACAAGTGGCTCAGGTAGTGCAGCTCATCCAGAATGGCACATCAATGCGAGCTGTGGCAAGAAGGTTTGCTGTGTCTGTCAGCGTAGTGTCCAGAGCATGGAGGCGCTACCAGGAGACAGGCCAGTACATCAGGAGACGTGGAGGAGGCCGTAGGAGGGCAACAACCCAGCAGCAGGACCGCTACCTCCGCCTTTGTGCAAGGAGGAGCAGGAGGAGCACTGCCAGAGCCCTGCAAAATGACCTCCAGCAGGCCACAAATGTGCATGTGTCTGCTCAAACGATCAGAAACAGACTCCATGAGGGTGGTATGAGGGCCCGACGTCCACAGGTGGGGGTTGTGCTTACAGCCCAACACCATGCAGAACGTTTGGCGTTTGCCAGAGAACACCAAGATTGGCAAATTCGCCACTGGCGCCCTGTGCTCTTCACAGATGAAAGCAGGTTCACACTGAGCACATGTGACAGACGTGACAGAGTCTGGAGACGCCGTGGAGAACGTTCTGCTGCCTGCAACATCCTCCAGCATGACCGGTTTGGCGGTGGGTCAGTCATGTGGGGTGGCATTTCTCCATGTGCTCACCAGAGGTAGCCTGACTGCCATTAGGTACCGAGATGAGATCCTCAGACCCCTTGTGAGACCATATGCTGGTGCGGTTGGCCCTGGGTTCCTCCTAATGCAAGACAATGCTAGACCTCATGTGGCTGGAGTGTGTCAGCAGTTCCTGCAAGAGGAAGGCATTGATGCTATGGACTGGCCCGCCCGTTCCCCAGACCTGAATCCAGCGCCATCCACCAACGCCACGTTGCACCACAGACTGTCCAGGAGTTGGCGGATGCTTTAGTCCAGGTCTGGGAGGAGATCCCTCAGGAGACCATCTGCCACCTCATCAGGAGCATGCCCAGGCATTGTAGGGAGGTCATACAGGCACGTGGAGGCCACACACACTACTGAGCCTCATTTTGACTTGTTTTAAGGACATTATATCAAAGTTGGATCAGCCTGTAGTGTGGTTTTCCACTTTAATTTTGAGGGTGACTCCAAATCCAGACCTCCATGGGTTGATAAATTAGATTTCCATTGATAATTTTTGTGTGATTTTGTTGTCAGCACATTCAACTATGTAAAGAAAAAAGTATTTAATAAGATTATTTCATTCATTCAGATCTAGGATGTGTTATTTTAGTGTTCCCTTTATTTTTTTGAGCAGTGTAGTTGGTTCAGAGTTCGTTTTGATATTTCAACCTGCGTGTCTGGATCGCGTCTGGTGTTGATGTACAAAATCAACATTAGGAGGGAGGATAATGAAAGTTCACAGAAGTAACCTAGAAGGTAGACCTATCAATTAGTTATATTGTTTTTACTGATATCAATTTTGTTTATGAATTATTAAGTGATTAAAACTAAAAATTCCTTTACCATATTGGTAATGGAATTTGGGGAAAAATCTATAACATAATTTCTACAATTGAATTGGATACAACGGGAAATCATAGTAGTCACAAACAACAGTTGGGTTCACAAGTTTGGACAGCACAGTACAGTAAAGAAAATAAAAGTACAGTATAGTACAGTACAGTAGAGCAGTACAGTACACAGTAGAGCACACTAGAGATGAGTACACTATAATTTACTGTATTGTATTATACTTTACTGTACTGAACTATACTCTACTTTATTGTACTGTACTGCGCTGAACTATACTCTACTTTACTGTACTGTACTGAACTCTACTGTACTGAACTCTACTGTGCTGTCCTTTGATGTCCAGACTTGTGAAACATAGACGTCAATGATTGGTTCAGATTTGGTCCGGTCCGGACCAACCAAATTTGGTCTTGTTTGGGGGCAGAGCTAAAAAACTAAAATAATAGCCAGTGTGTAGAGTAATATCCAAATATGCAAAGAAGGATATTGCATATGTATGTACCTATTTAGGATACATCACCATGAAGAGAATTACATTAATTTCCATAATTATGCATTTCTGTGTAGTACAGATCAGGGACCCATGATTAAATTATGTTACCGCAATTAACGGGTGTAAATCCACTTCACTTACTGTAGTTCAATAACTAAAATATATTTTTTCAAATCAATGTGTCATGTCATAGCTGACACCCCATTCTTTCTGCAGACATTGTTGAATCTTAATTCGTAGCAGTTATTTAAGAGTTTTTGGAACACGTGGACATATAAAAAACTGAGGGAGATTTCAATTTAACTCGGTTACCAAACTTTGCATCTTCGCAGTTCTTCCAGTAAATGTGTTTAGTGTCAATTGTTAAAAGTAGTCTTTGTGCATAGAGTTGTATGGTTTGTTAAACTTTTAAATCAACAGTTATTGTTTGGCATACATTTTAAGTGAAGCATCTGAGTCTCATTGCAATTCAGTTACAGTGGAATTGCCCAATAGTAATAGGTTCTTCAGGGAAAGCCTCACAGCCAGCACGATTCCCTGCTGGGTCTCAGCTATCATTACAGGAAACACAGTACACACACACACACAGTCTTGCATAACTAACCTTGTGGAGACAATTCAGTCCCACTCAAAATCCAATTTTCCCTAACCCCTAACCCTAAACCTAAGCTTAACCCTTACCCTAACCCTAACCTGACCTTAACCCTAACCCTAGCGCCTAACCCTAATCCTAATTCTAACCCTAACACTTATTCTAACCTTAACCCTAAATCCCCTAGAAATTGCATTTGACCATGTGGGGACTAACAAAATGTCCGCAGTTGGTCAACTTTTTGTTTGTTTACTATTCATGTGGGGACTTCTGGTCCCCACAAATGTAGTTAAACACGTCCACACTCTCACACTGAAACACATACACACACACACACTGAAACACACATGCACCTCCTCCACTGCCAGAGTGACTGTAGTGTAATGCAATCTGCTGTTTTTACAAACTCAACAGTAAGAACAACACAATCAATCCGTGGGAGCAGCTAAATCTCTGGCCAGCCGGCTACCTGCAGGCCATATTACTAACCCACTGTAACCCAATGGGCTAATCCCACAAAACAGTGGAGCCCCTGTTTACAGTAACTCTGAACCAAATGCCTGCCTATGTCATACAGTCACAGAGGGGCAGCCGAAAGACAGGGGGTGGAGAGAGGTGCAAAACCAGGATGGAGAAAGGGAGAAGGAGAAGAGTGTGAGAAAAGAGGGAGGGGAGAGGATGAAGAAAGCATAGAGACAAGATAGAGAGAGATGGATGAAGAGAGGCTGGAGAGATAGTAGAGAGTGTAGAAGAGCACAAGATGGATGGATGGATGGAGTGAGGACAGGAGTTAGAGAGCTGCAGTACTTACGGTGGAGTTCTCCATCAGGCTTGTCAGTACAGGCGAGTCATTGCTCATGGTCCAGGTCAGAAAGAATGAACCCTGAGTATGACAGACAGAGGAGATCCGAGGAGAAGAAAGCAGAGCGGAGAGGTTAGACACTCATACTATCCAGTCTCTTATTGAAGAGGGCAGAAGGAGAGGATCGGGTCTGCTGTACACAACTAGCTTCTCAGCTCTCAGGCTGCCCAAAACTCTGTTACAAAACACTTCTACATTTTCACCCATTATGTATTCTGATTCATGCACCTTATTTTATGTAACACCTCATACAAGCTGCTCCACGCGTCCAGTTAGAATGTTTCAAACAGCCAATTTTGTAAACCCCATTACTAGTAAATGGACGGGACACACCAGCTCACGTTACTCACATACACACACACCAGCTTATGCATAAAACCCTCGTTAGCCACATGTGCAATGACTTCCTGTGATGTTTTACACACGTTGCCTCAGGTCATCCTGTATTCATGGTCAGAACTGAGGCAGCTGTGTGTGTGTGTGTGTGTGTGTGTCCTAAGGGGGTTGTCTCTGCTAACTACTCCTGGAGGTACTGTGGTCTAGTGATTAGTGTTAATCATCATGAGTGGAAAATAATAAATGAGATTTAACATGCGCTCCTCTGATTCAAACCTATATACACTGAACAAAAATATAAACGCAACATGCAAAGTCTTGGTCCCATGTTTCATGAGCTGAAATAAAATGATCCCAGAAATGTTCCATACGCACCAAAATATCATCTTGGCACAAATTTGTTTACAGCCCTTTTAGTGAGCATTTCTCCTTTGCCAAGATAATCCATCCACCAGACAGGTGTGGCATACCAAGAAGATGATTAAACAGCATGATCATTACACAGGTGCACCTTGTTCTGAGGAACATAAAAGGCCACTAAAATGTGCAGTTTGTCACACAACACAATGCCACAGATGTCTCAAGTTTTGAGGGAACGTGCAATTGGCATGCTGACTGCAGGAATGTCCACCAGAGCTGTTGCCAGAGAATTGAATGTTCATTTATCTACTATAAGCTGCTTCCAACATCATTTTAGAGAATGTGGCAGTATGTCCAACTGGCCTCACAAACTCAGACCACGTGTATGGCGTCATGTGGGTGAGCAGTTTGCTGATGTCACGTTGTGAACACAGTGCCCCATTGTGGCGGTGGGGTTATGGTATGGGCAGGCATAAGCTACGGACAACGAACACAATTGCATTTTATCGATGGCAATTTGAATGCACAGAGATACGGTGACGAGCTCCTGAGGCCCATTGTTGTACCATTCATCCGCCGCCATCACTGCATATTTCAGCATGATAATGCACGGCCCTATGTCGCATGGATCTGTACACAATTCCTGTAAACTGAAAATGTTTCAGTTCTTTCATATTTTAGCAATACCCCCCCCCCCTCCCTCCCTCCCTCCCTCCCCCCTCTCCTACGATATCCATGATCCTTTCTAGACATCAGGAATATGGGCAAAGCAACAAGAAGAAAGTCAGTGGACATTCTAAAACATTCTATTCTACTTATGAAACATTATAAATAACGTCACATCTAGAGCATGTCTCGGCATGCATTGAAGCAATTCACCCAGTTTCTGACTTTCCCGCTTGTCTTGGTGAAAACCAAACCACGCTCGCTCTTCTATCGTTGGTGCTGTGACATCGACTCGCCAGTTTTGGTGCCCGCTCATCAGCATCCTTTCTCCCGAACGATAAACCGCTGATTAAGGAAATCGTTATACATTTGTGCACCATCATATTTTTGCAACACATAATCCTACAGTAAACAGACAAGCGGTGTGAATTATCACCAGAATATCATATCGAATATTTGACCATCATCGACAATGATTGTAGCCTTTTAATGTAAAAACAGTGCTTAATGTACTGCATAGTCTATGACAAACTTCACAATCAGACATGAGCTCTCCTCACAACGCTCTATCATTTTCATCGCAATGGTGTTGCCACATACCGAGACATATCACAATAATATTATGTGTGGTAAATTGCGTTCTACAGTATGCACCCCTATCACATCATCCCCTATCCCAAGTCTGTCTTGCCTATTCTACTTATTGATAGGCCATGACTAAAATGTAAACTGGCACGACAGTGCTGTCATTACTAAATTACTAAATGTAAACTGTATCAGGGTACAATCTGTACGCTATCCTTCCGTTCTTCTAGAATATACAATTAAATCATACATCAAAGGCAACAAACTGATCGATTGGCAACAGCCTGGCTGTATGGATAAAAGCGAAATGGCACTATGGACATGCAATTACCTTATTCTAACCTACTTCATGTGGTCCATTTGGAGACGCTGTCCATCACACGCCAATAGTGCTGGCCTTTCCTGCATAGTTTAATTTAGGCTTTAAATGCCGATTGTAGTTATGAATGAAACTGCAAGCGATAAGACACACCCACAGCCCGCTCCTGAAAACACCACGTGACGAAGACGACGACGATGTGAAATGGAATATACACTTAACGATAAGACACACCCACAGCCCGCACGTTCACGCGCGAGGGAAACATTTCTTCCATTTATATTTGCCATAATTAATAATGGCCCTCGCACAAAGATGTGAAACAATGATTTTGATATAATTGTTTTCTTGATATCATTTCTCTCCTTTCGCTAAACGAAAAACGCAGATCAGCAAGCACAATCAGTGAGATTTAAAGGTGTAATATTTTTGATAGTTACAAAAAATATTGCATGAAATGTCATTATCTGTCATGATAATGAAATAATGGAGATAATTTAATGCCCATGATAATATCATATCTCATGCTGTTTTGTCTCATACCCACATGGTGGTAATGTTGTTCCATAGCACTATTGTGAACAGGCCAAGAACATTTTACTGTAAGTAACAATTGTGGCATTCTTATTTCTGTTGTCTGACTACTGGTGGGGACAGAAGTCAAGGGCCTGGTTCTTTCGTGAAAGGCACTGGTGTAAAGCAACTAAGTAGAAATAATTTGAAGAACTACTTAAGTAGTTTTTGGGGTATCTATACTTTCATTGAGTATTTATTTTTTTGACAACTTGTATTTTTACTCCACTAAAGAAAATATGTACTTTTTACACCCATACATTTTCTCTGACACCAAAAAGTACTCGTTACATTTCGAATGCATAGGCAGGACAGCTATATGGTCCAATTCATGCACTTATCAATAGAACGCGTTGTCATCCTTACTGCCTCTGATCTGGCAGACCACTAAAAACACAAATAGGCCTACTGCGTTTGTAAATGATGTCTGAGTGTTGGAGTGTGCCCCTGACTGTCCGCAAATAAAAAAAGAAGAAAATCGTGCGATCTGGTTTCCTTCTGGTTTGCTTAATATAAGACATTTGATTGAAAGCAAATATTTTTACTTTTAACTTTTTCTCAAGTAACCAAAATATTTTCCTTTTCCTGAACAACGGGAACAGAACATAAAAATGTTCTGCTTTAGAAATATATTCATCCTCTTCTAATGACAAGTTGAATAAGACATTTGCTAAACATTTAAACTCTGTTTTTCCGACTCACTGTAATTCCTGCTGCTATGGATCTAGTGGAAAAAATTTAGGTAGTTAGAGTCTAGACTACCTGTGTTGCTGCTGCCCTGACACACGTGTTCTTGACTGAAGAAGGGATGGAGTTGAGTCGAGGGTCGTTGATGCAGCTGCTCCTCTCTGTCTTTCTGCTGTTCATATCAGCCAACCAGACAGAATATTGATGATGATGTAAATCAAGTGTTATCAAGTGCTACTCAAATGTTATGCTGCTGTGGGAGTACTGATGATATTTAAACTAAGTAGCTAGCTACACACACTCAACCGGTGACCCCATCTCAAGCCATGGATGTTTGGATACCGGGCAGGCGCAATCTCCGTACAGGGCAGACTGGTAAACAGGCGCAACATGGGCTGCGCAAGCTCCATACAGGGCAGACCAACAGGCACAGAGGCGGCATGCCCATAGCGGGCACAGGGACAAGTACCCCCTCAGATTTGTCCTGTAAAAAATTGATATAAAAAATAAAACATATATATTGTTGTTTCTCTGCAATACTATTATAGCAATTTTATGAAGTTGACTTTAGCTAGCCCATATAGGTTCCCAATCTCCGAACCTCATAACTAGCTACCAAGAAGCCATTTGGTCAATTGGCTAGAAATCAAGTTAGAGTAGCAAGCTTGTCCAACTACACTACATGACCAAAAGTATGTGGACACCTGATGTCAAACATCTCATTCCAAAATCATGGGCATTCATATGGAGTTGGTCCCCCCTTTGCTGTTATAACAGCCTCCACTCTTCTGGGAAGGCTTTCCACTAGATGTTGGAACATTGCTGTGGGGACTTGATTCCATTCAGCTACAAGAGCATTTGTGAGGTCGGGCACTGATGTTGGGTGATTAGGCCTGGCACGCAGTTGGCGTTCCAATTAGGGCTGTGGTGGTCATGACATTTTGTAAGCAGGTGATTGTCAAGCAAATAACTGCTGGTCCCACGGTAACTGACCGTTAATTAACATACACACATTTAGCATATCCTGGCTTCCACGCATAGACTACAAGCCACTGATGCAGACCTTTAGAACATCTACATTTTAAAAGTCTAATAAATCCATCACAATAAATCCACAATTTCTTTTAGACAGCTCTAAAGAAACATGATATAAAGAAAATGTAGTCTGTTTCAGAAGAACAAAATAGCATACTCTAAGTTGTCCTGATGTTAGGCCATGATCTGGCTATGCCATATGGCTGTGGGCTACACTAGTTCATTTAGCAGACAAGATTTGCTTAGAATTCAGTGGCATTATTTTATATTATTTTATAGTCTGAAGAATACAACTGAACATAGCTGAATAAAATAGAAAGGATATTTTCTCCAAAGGATTTGAGAGAGTGCACAAATGGTGCTGTTCTGTGTTGAGCGGTTAACATAGAAACAGGTCCTCCTATACTATATGTTTAATTTAGAGTTATTTATATAACTTTAGTTGTGAAACAAACGTTGG